CTAGAAGATGATATTCCACCAGGAGAAAAGAAAGAACCAGAAAGGGCAGCGTGTCTCTCCCGTTGTTGCAGAACTTAATTAAGCCTATCCTCATCTTTCCAACCTATGCCCTTTGGCTCTGTATATAGATGCCTGTTGTTCAGTGCCCTTTTATTCTAGGAAAAATGTCCCAACTATTGCTCCCAGCTGGCTGCACAGGTTTTCTATAAAAGAATTGAGCTATCACTCCAATATGGCCTAAGGTCCCTTAAGAGAGGTCACAAGTTGTTGTGAGGCAGTGAGGGAGCAAATACCTGAAGGGTAGACACACTCTTTGCACAGCTTATGGTCTAGACAGGCTATCAGAAGAAGCCAGTTCAGAGAGCAAGACTCACACCTGGATTTAAAGGGAATGATCACCTACCCCGAAAACAATGGCCAATAGGATCATATTACAAAAGACATTGAACATTTCCTGCTAAGAAGTGGACATGGAGTGGTAGTATCTTTCAGGGGCCATAGGTACTTCCCATCCTTGACCTTGGTAGAGCAGAAACAAAAACAAAACTGAAGCTGCAATCTAAAACACTGATGAGATCCAACATCTTGATGATGATGAGAAACCTCTAAAAAATCTGAAGAATTATTGCTGTTTCAGATTCTGCATTTGAATCAGAGTAGGAAGCTTCTTGCCAGTAGTTACAACTTCAGTTTTTACTTACAAAGATTCTGTGAGTGTAATGAATGATTATATTAATGATGATTACATTACTGATTACATTAATGAAGACTTTTGTGTTAGTGTTAGACAAAGAACAGCAGTCTATAGAGAGGGCCAAAGTTTTTCTGTTTTGTTTTGTTTAATTGGAGTATAAATTGGAGTAAAAAGCTATGTCTTATTTCCAATCTCATTTTGGCACAGGTTTTTATTTGCCAGACTGTAAGTGACTTGTTATTTCAACCCATCCCTTTAACAGATAGGATACATTTACAATCAGTTACTGTAGTCTTTAAATTTAAAGACATTGAGTTTTCTGGTTGAAAAAAGCACCTATTTTGCTGCTGCATGTAAGCACAGTACAATGTTAAGCATCCAGCCATGACAACACTTGTTGAATTAAAAGCCATGGACTAGATTATTGAAAAAAAAACTCTAGAATATCTTGCAGTCTAATCATTATTTTGCCTTACCTCTGAAAGATCTACTTGCATGTGTTTCCAATTAAAAAAATAATCAATTATAGTAATTAACCAAATAAAAACGATGGAAGCTCTGTAAAAGGGGAAAATCTGTTGCCTTCTATAGGTTACATCCCGATCTGTATTATAAACAGATACAAGACGTCTGGGGAGTTCTCATGAAGGGAAACAGTCTTTTTTATCTTTCACAGGAAGATTTATTAAATTTACTTGGAGCTAAGGTCATCAGAAAATGACAAGTTCCTCAATTCCTTTTTGCCAAGACCACAGCAGTAAAACTCTGTTTCTTTACTTAGTCATGTCAGATTGAATCTAAGTACTTGCACAGCCCTTATCACAATGGCAGCTAAATTTGTAGTATTTTTCACAGCTTTTCTGGCCAGTATAACCCTTGTTTGATAAATAGTGTTAATGAAAAATAGACATTGCTCAAAAAGAACTCCATTAGTGTCTCATATTCTGTATAAATTTAACTTTTCTTGGTTAATTAAAACAGTATTCTGAAAGGGAATTTATATTCTTGTAAAGACCACATACTGATATTGTTTTAAAAAAAGAAAAGTTTATGATAAAAAATAAATTGTTTCAAACAATTGTAGCCCCAAAACAACATTTTCTCAGGAGTTAGAAAGCTGTAAATGTTACTTGAGACAATAAATGGAACTGATAAAAGTAATTTTCATAATATGAAGATAGCTAAGTTGGGAGCAAAGGTTGGTAACCAGCGTCCTTTCCATCTCGAACCATTGCATAACTAAAGATTTTGAAAGAGAAGAGAAAACAAACCTAATGATACTGCCAAGAAAAAAAAAAAGTCTAAAATTGCACAGAGTTGGAGTGAATAGTTACTAATTAGTCCCTTACTCTGCTGGAGATTAATATCTGTGTTTCAGGGAAACATATTTCAGCTTCTTTTTATTATTATTATTATTACAGTAAGTAATTCAGGATTCACAGTTTTTTCATAGTCAATAGAATAAATACATGCAGTAAGCTCCAGAGAGATGACAGAAAAAGAAAAATAATAAGCAAACAGCTGGGAATGTCACGTATTTCACCCTGGCAGAGTGCTTAGCCAAGTACCTTATTGCTGGCTGATGACCAGCTTTCTCATTAGAAGTTGTTTTGTTTAAGCACAGCAGCATAAACAAAGAAAATGCACTGGGCTTTCAGGTTCATATTTTCATTCACATTTCTTCCCACTCCTAATAATCTTAAAAGGATAAATTCTTTTGCCACAGGCAGGGTTTCAGCAATAGGCCTGTGCCCATGCCCAGCAACCACTCTATCTTTGATGCCTGAAGTCACTGCCAATCCTGAGCCACATGGAAACTATATTCAAAGACCTGGACTGATGTGTGTTGCAACCCATCTCAGAAAAACACTGTGTCACTACCAGCATCTGGTAGAGGTATCCTTTTACCTCCTCCCCCTGTGGTACAAGTTGGATCTTCTCCAACTGTGAGAGTAAAACCAAGCTTCCTGACCTTCCCAAACCATTGGAAACTGGCGGATGGATAAAGGCAAACAGATGACTCCTTTCTCCACAGGCAGAACTTATCTGTCGATCTATGCAGAATAGCAAGAGTATTCCCATATAACTTTCTCTTGCATGGGCATAAAGCTAAGCCCACCATGGAGCCTGGAGTACGAGTACTCTGTCCAGTATTTTAACTCTTTGTGACATTTTTGCTTGTTGGTTTGAATCTTCTAGATAAGTCACTTTTGTAGGATAATCCTGTAGCATCTTCTGGATCATAAGAAACTCACCTTCCCATATCCTTCCATGCAAAAGCTGTCCAAGTTTACCTGCATGTGCAGTCACACAGGTTGTAGATGCACATTCAGTAGTTATGGGTACAACTATACAAAATCCATCTCATAGTTGTCATTACATAGTACCACAGCAAATAAAACCTGAAATCTTTGCTCCTAGTAGTTCATCCACATGTAGAAAGGTTTATAATGTTCTCACACCCACATTCTGATGACCAATACTAGGAGCAAACTACTATAAAGAAAGAGACAGAGGATGCTGAATAAGATCTTGCAAAATAGCATGGAAGAAGAGATCACACAAGACAGAAGCATACTACCTAAGAAAGGAAAAGCCTACTCAAGGACACTTCCTTCACCAATTTGCCAGTATGTATGATTTCAAGGTACTGCAATGCTCTAGGCATGCACCACATTTCCCTCCAGATGTTACAACTTTTAAGCTTCTATTAGAAGTATGTCATTAATTTTGTGCTCTTAAATTGCTTGAAGTTGTCCTGCACTTTGTTAAAGCCTATCAAGGCTCACTGAAGGACTGGCAAAAGAATCTTGATATTGGCTTTCCTGGTAGTGGTGGAAGGGGGAAAACATACGGGCTTGTCCCATCTGCAACTGAAGCACAGGATCTTCCATCCGGCCATCTCCATTTCCCCTGGTTTAATTAATACATATCTCCACTCTGCCACTACTGCTGACCTCATGAGTCTCCAGCCATATGGTCTGAGGCCTCTGTGATGTTACTTCACAGTCACATTTATGCCCCTTGTCCCTCTCCCTCTCTATCATAATGAGACCTGTGAAATAGGAAGCAGTGCTG